TTTTATTCCCTTTTTATGTTTCAGAAGTTTCTTTGATATTGTCAGCACCTTGAGATCAGTGTGAGCATGTTATCTCACATAGAAAAACAGTATGGAGTATATGAGATGTCTTGGTGCAAGCAATTATGTAGCCATATAAATAAATAATAAATGGTTATAAAAAGAAAAACAATATGGTATAGCAGAAAGAAGTACAATTTAGGAAATTGGGCAAACCTGTATTCATTCTGGCTCTGCTATCTACCTGCTGTGCAACTTTGAACAAGTTGCTGAAACTCTCTGAGCCTTAAGCTTATCATCTGTCCGTAGAGTTCTCTTTTAACTTGGAGAAGTTAGTTTTGTTGTCTTTGCTAAAGATCACTTCAGAGGCACTGTAGCTCTTCTTCTGCAAAGTTAATCACAGGAAAGGTGAAAAATCAACTTGTCTAAAGAATACAGGGGCCTCCTAGGAAGATTTTGACTGATATTCTTCAACGTCTCCCTGGAATTCAGAAGTAACACAATTCATTGACATAAACTGATATGTCCGTGAGAATTACCAGGGGCAAGAAATGATAGGAAGCCTCCTGAGACCGAAGAAAAAGCGAAATAAAGCTGTTGGCTATAGTTAAAACAGGTGTGTTTAAACTGGGGTTCTATAAATGTAATTCAGATGGTCCATATATTTAAATAGGGAAACAAGAATACATTTAACTGAAATTTAATATATTTTCTATTGTGAATATAGAAAATAAACAACAGCATCATTAATAATATTGATAACTGTCACTAATAGACATCACAGATATCTCAAAATATTATTTATACTCATTACTCCAACTTGGAAACTATTAGACATGCCACTAGATGTTATTTCATTCATTACAGAGAAGCACCTATATCAGATAGTTGGCTATTGGTTCTTCTTTTACATTACAGTATTTGGTCAGTGTATTTCACTATGACTGGTTTCCCTGGTAATCCTATGTATTTTATTTTGTGCATTTAAAATATATTTTGATATGAGATTCAGAGGCTTGTGCCAAAAGTGTCCATAGCACAAAAATGTTAAACATTCCTAGTTTAAGACAAGTTCCAAAGCCTTGGGCAGCTGCTTTGGAAATGCTGGTGCTGATTTGTCTGGTCCTGTAACCCTGCTCAGTTCCAGTGTTCTGTGAAATAATGCTGAGTGCCACCAGGTAGCTGGAAAGAAAGCCCTTCGTGAGGGCACAGGGCCATCCACCATAGACCCAAGAAAGTGCAAGGAGCCTTTGTGGAAAGAAAGACCTTTTTTGCACCACATACCCTATGGCAGCAAGAAATGTTTGTGTCTGCTCCCCACTTGGGAAGGAAGACAAGTTAGACTGGCCATCCTGTTAGACTAAATAAAACCCAAGGTCTCTTTTTAGAAGGAAAACATGAAAGAAGCACCAAAAGAGAGTCACTGGACCTCATACCAGTACGGCAGTTGGGTGCTTGGGTAGCTACATATGTAAACCAATGGAGCAAGTTATGCATGCAAAGAATAAAAATATATCAAATTGCAGGCCAGGCGCAGTGTCTCATGCCTGTAATCCCAGCACTTTGGGAGGCCAAGGTGGGCGAATCACCTGAGATCAGGAGTTTGAGACCAGACTGACTCACATGGTGAAACCCCGCCTCTGCTAAAAATACAGATATTAGCTGGGCATGGTGGTGCACACCTGTAATCCCAGCTACTTGGGAGGCTGAGGCAGAAGAATCGCTTGAACCCGGTAGGTGGAGGTTGCAGTGAGCTGAGATCGTGCCATTGCACTCCAGCCTGGGTAACAGAGCAAGACTCCGTCTCAAAATAATAATAATAATATATGCGTGTGTGTGTGTGTGTGTGTGTGTGTGTGTGTAAAACTGCAGTGGGACTAAACAAGGTGGGTAAATAGCCACCTACCACAGTGTCCAGAACAGAAAATGCTAAAAATATTTTAGTACCTTCATCTTCCTAAATACTTCCCACCCTCCCACCACTATTACAGATACACAAAGGTAGAGAGAAAGAGACAATTTAAAACAGTGGTGGTCCTCTTTCAATTATTCTTTGCTATTAAAAATAAGCAAACTCAAATTAAAATTCCCAACAATAACAATTAGCTACATTTTACATATATTCAGAAAATAAGATAAAGGAATTATGTTTATTTCCTAAAGTCGCACAGCAAGTTGAAGATCAGTCTGAGATCCCACTGGCTCCTGCATTAACCCAGGAATACTTCATTTGTATCTGTGTATTTAGCTGGGAACTTGAAGGTTCATTGGCATGGTGTGTGTTTTATTTTGTTTGGTTTGGTTTGTACAAAAACATGGCTTATCTATTCATGATTCTTTCCGATTTTACCTCATTTACTGAAGGCACTAGAAGAAAGCCATCCTGCAGTTTCATAGGCAGACAAGGCAACAGATAAACCATTTCCACTTTAGGACACCCACACCCTCAGCCTATTGCCTTTGTGATTCAGAACTGTCAGGAGAGAGATTTCTAAAATGCTGTTGAAATCTTCAGGTTCACACTACCATGTGTTGGTCTGCCAGGAATTTGACCCTCCCAAGTTTTATGACTTGAGCTTGATCCTCCTTTTTGTTCCAGGCACAGAGAACCTGATGATAAGCCCTCATCGATGGAAGTAATGAGACAGTAGACAGCAGTATGAAAGCTACTGTCAGGATTCTACATATTTATAATTTAAAATGAAATGTATTAAAGTTATTCCTCTCTCCCTTCCTCACACCGCTGACCTGCCTGCTGAGTGTTTCTCCCTTCAAGTCTGCCTTTAATTCAATTCACTCAAATGATGTTTATCAATTATATATTGTGCTAGACATGGTATTATTCACTCTAGATAACAAATGAGGTGCAAAAGAGACACAGCCCCTGTCCTGGAGCTAACAGGCCGGTAAGGGAAACGGCCATTCTTAAAAATTGTATGTAAATACAAACACTACATAAATATAGCACACACAGCCAACTGTACTAAATGCAAAGACCACAATTCAATGAGAGATAATAGTGGAAACCTGGTTTAAGGTAGGAGATCAAGGAAAGTTTTTCTGAGGAAGTATCATTTTATCTGAAAACTGAAGAATGATGGATGATGTATACAGGATAGGGGGCAGAGAATATGTGCAAAGATTTCCAATTAGAAAGAGAAGCTTATGTGAAGAGCTGAACAAGAGAAATATTTTCCCGATGGTACATGATGCAGCTTATTTCAATGCAAATGTCTACATTCAGAAGAAGGCAACAAATCTGAATTCCTCAGAGTTAAACAGACTGAAGTCAAGTCCTAGCACAGTCCCATTACCTACATGAGTAGAATCGTCTACTCCCCATGTGTTGAGTGGTTGCTGAGCTGCTGCAAATGTCCCAGAGAAAGAGGGTTGCCATCGGTCTTGGGTTAATATATTGTGTCACTTTTTGTTAAAGAGTTTAAAACAACTGATTTATGATATTGTTTAGATGTTCTTGCAATTTATAATTTGATACTTGGTTTTCACAAGTTTATGTATAGTTTATTAACATATATACTTTTCATTTAGGGTTTGTTGGAGTTCTCATGAACACTTTTTAGGCTACTGCAAAACCAAAAATTAAAGTGTGAGATGTACACAAGTATTTTCATAGCTAAGAATGTGAACCCACTCCTCTTGTACTATCCTGTAAGGAACAACGGAAATAGTCATTTTTCAAAGTATTTGTATATTTATCAAATTTCAGAGATCATTTAGTCCTAATATATCATGTTCTACTGTGAAAAATCATACCAGAAATACCAAAAAAATATTGCTGCTTTGTTTTATACACATTTGTTATAATGTAGACTTTGTCTTGGCAGTCATTTGCACTCTCTGTTCAAATTCTACATAGAATCTTTTGGAAATTGTATTTCATGAAAGAAATTTCATTTAACTGGTAGCTCTTAGTTCTCAAAAATAGGTTTATTCTGCTATGAGAACAATTCCAAAGTGGAGACAAGAATTCTTCCACCCATATGGTAGTTTTGAAATGCTTAGCATCTTATTTACAATTGACTGTCTATCAGTATGCTAGATTAGTTATGTTCCTGTTTAAGTTTACTCTCTTCCTATTTAAGACTAAAACATATATCACAACTCATTTGTTTACTTCTATATTTACACTTGTGTAAACCAGAGTAAGGAGTCAAGAAAAACTTCATAAATACACAAAACTGCTCCTTACAGTCCTATATATTCCCCATTGCTCATGGATAATATTTAACATCTAGCATCCTTAGTATTGAATGTGAGGGTCTTTACAACACAGCCCCCTCCATTACAACATTATCTCTGCCACTTCCTCATTTTCTCCTCATCTCTTTTATATTCCAGCTTTGCCTGACTAATTGCCATTTCCAAAACATGCCACGTTCTTCCAAGCTTTGTACCATTCTCTCTATCTGTTTTACTTGCAAACCCCTATTTATTTTTTAGTTCTCATATCCGTATTATTTTATATACTACTGTTCTTGGGCTAAGGCAAAAAATGTCACTGCCTTATTTATGTTTTATAATACTTTTATAACCACTATTATATCACATATTTGTTTTTATATAATCATTCACTTATGTTTATGTTTTCCCAGCTAGATTCTTAATTTTCTCAAGAATAGACCAATTCTATATTTTGCTTTAGATTCGTGCCTTCTACAAAGCCTTCCACGATGTTTGGCATACAATAAGCCCTCAAAAAATGTCTACTGAATTAAGTTAAACATGATTCTAGAGGCCTGTGCAATAGATCATTGGCATCATCCAACTTCTCACAATTTCATTGCATATTCTTCAAATCAACACTTAGAATGACAATTAGATTACACAGCATAATTTTCCCCAATGGGTGGGGCATTTTAACCAGTCTTGCCCATTTTTTTTTCTTGTGATGTCATGGGGGTGCCTTGAACATGCAGTCGAATTCCACACACAGAGCAGTCCTTTGTTCTTATCAACATCTCACAGCCTGTGAAGCTCTCAGTGTGCCTCTGTCCTTTGCCACAAACATGAGGCTCAAATTCCCTCTCATGGCCATAGTCCTGGAAATTGCCATGATTGTTTTATTTGCATTATTTGTTGAGTATGAAATGGACCAGACTACTCCCCAGCAGCTCAACATCACCACCTCAACAGACATGGGCAAATTCCTTGAGTTATATCCTCGTGAGTAGGCAATTTACTACTTACTATACATTTTTGGGTTCTTCAGTTTCTCAGAATGTGAAACAATTGACTACTATAAACCCTTGAGCTCCTTGTAGAATTACATGATGGTTATGAGTGCTAAGATATTACATGCTTGTGCTGTGACATCTGGTCTTCTTCTCTGTGATTAAGGTGTTTGGTTAGAACTTTTTCCTATGAAAATATCAGAACAAGAAGCTGAAAATTAAAATAACTTATTCTTTTTGTATTGCTTATTTACTGCTGACCTTCTTTTTTCCTTCAGTTGGTCACTAGTTCTGCAAAGAAAAGTATCACACTTCCTTTGCATTCCCCACTGAAAGCGCCAAGGGTAACTTTCGAGGAGAGAGAGTGCTAAGAAAATGAAATTATAAGAAGGGAACCCTAGATTTCATGTGAAGACCCTAAGGAATAAGAAGGGGTATTTAGCATGATGTAGGAAGTTAATGGAGTTTTAATCAAAAAGGTGTACTCAGAGTTTTACAATATTCTGAAAGGAAGTCGGTTTGTTCCTTTGAGATGAAAAGAAATGTGTGAATACTTAACATATTTTAAAAACAACATCCTTCCTTTGGAATGATGACTAAGCAAAGAGAGAAATTTAGTTTCAAGTTTGGAAGGGTAGGCTGTAAAATAGGTAATATAACAATGATAACTACCATTTACTGAGTCCTTATTATAAACCAACACATCCATTACCTCATTAACCAAGAAGGGAGACAGTAGTAGGTAACTATCATATAGACTATTTACCTTTCTTAAGTAAGGTTAAAACAATCTAAAAAAAATAAAAATTATTTAAAATGGTATAATGTTTATTAGACTTCATAGCATACGTCTAAGCTTTCTAAAAAAAAAATTTGACACTCTTTTTTTTATTCCTACTTTTTATAGGGAATTAATGTAATGGGGGTATTCCCATGTAGAAATAATGGCCTAGAGTTGCTAAGTGACATAACAAAAATATAAAATTGAAAGTTAAGGACAGAATTAGGATAATAAGACAGAGAAAACTAGACTCCAAGTCTAGTTGTCTTTACACTGCATAGATGTCCAAGAGGGTTCTTGATTAAATTAAGTTTTATAATTTGCAAGTTAGAGAATAAAACAGAAAAATATTCTGTTCAACTATGTATGCTTTTGTACATTTCGCTCATTCATCCATTTATTCATTTAGTAAATATTTTATTAAGCACTAAGCATGTGCTACAGCAAATTTATTCAAAAATAAAACAAATATGATTATTTTATTCTAAGACTCCACTATCTAATACACTTGTAAACAAAGAGATGAAATACAATGTTAAAAATGCCAAAAATATGATCTAAGATTAATATAGTTTAAAAAAAGTTATCTTAAGACTTTAAGAGCTTAATAATTGCGTCATTGAAGCTGAACTTTCTGAGTTTCAGCATCAAATCTCCTAGGTAAAACTTCAGTTCACAATTTGAGATCAAGACCAGGTTGAAGGAAAGTCACTAAACATGGTCATTTTTCAGTAACCTAGCAATAGATGAGTAAATTTTGGACATCTGGTGTGCAGCATAATTGATGATAGTTAACAATACTGTATGGATACTTGTAATTTCCTGAGAGGATATAGCTTCAATTCAATCTGATCATCCCCCGTCCCCCACCCCACACACAGGTATACACACACACACACACACACACACACACACACAAACACATACAGGTATACACACACAATGGTAACAACGTAGAGGTGATAAATGTGTTAACTAGCTTGACTGTAGTGATCATTTCACAAAGTATACGGATATCAAAATATCAAGTTGTATGCCTCAAATGTATATAATTTTATATGTCAATTATATCTCAATAAATCTTTTTAAAAATATAGTTTAGTAGTCATATCACTCTTCTACACCACTTGTAAAAACATGAAAATTTTTTGATTTTATGATTCATGAAGAAAATGTTTATTAAACTACCAATTCTTGCAAGCAATCTTCAGTCTCTTAAGTTTGTAGGCACTAGGTAGTGAATAAAACAAACAAAATGGGATTCCATTGTGTATATATGCCACATTATTTATAATCTATTCATCAACTGATGGATACTTAGGTTGATTCCGTATCTTGGCTATTGTGAATCGTGCTGCAGTAAACATAAGAGTGCAAACATATCTTTCATTTTCTTTGGAAATATCCCTAGTAGTGAAATTGCTGGTTCATGTGATAGTTCTATTTTTAGTTTTTTGAGAAACTTCCATATTGTTTACATTATAATATACATTCCCACCAACAGTGTGTAAGAATTTCCTTTTCTCTGCATGGAGGTAGAGAGTAGAATGATGATTACTATAGATTGGGAAGGGCGTTGGAACAGGGAAAATGATGAAGAAAGTTTGGTTAATGGTTACAAATATAAAGTTAGATAAAAGGAATAAGTTCTAGTGTATATAGTACAGTAAGGTGACTGTAGTTAACAATAATATATTGTATATTTTGAGATAACTAGAAGATTTGAAATGTCTCCTATACAAAGAAATGATACATGTTCAAGGTGATGGATATCCTGAATAACATGACTTGCTTATTACAATTCATACGCATTTATCAAAATACCATCCACATATATCACACAGATGTGTATAAATATTATGTATCAATTTTAAATAGAAAAGAAAATGAAAAAAAAAGACAAAATGGGCAAAGTACATGTCCTCAGGAAGTTTACATTCCATGGGGGAAGGCAGACAAGGAGATGTGTGACCAGACACATCTGAATGTCTAAATGTATACCATATATTTAGATGGTTAAAAAAAAAATGTCATGGCTGTAAATGAAGCAAGATTAGAGACATAAATGCATTTGGACAAGAGATGTTTTTTCAGCCTCTCTCCACCAGGGTTATGTGAGAGAACAAAATCCTAATAACTCAAGGCATCCACTGCATGCAATTAATTGACTTGTCTCCTATGCACCTAGAATGCCACAAAGTGGAATTTTACATGAAAGGTAGCCTTCATTCATTCAAAATGCTGTCCATAGCCCAGTCTATACACAATTAAAAGTTCTCTCTTCAGTAAGGGTGGGTCTCAAGACTCAAAATTCTGGAAAGTTCTCATCTTCCAGTTCAGTTATATTATTCCTGCTTAAAATCGTTTGTAGAGTAGACTGAGAAAGTACATGACTGAGGTGTTATATACATATATATAATATATATTATATATATATATATATGTATTTCCCTACATTTCAAACAATTGACTTACACAAAGTTTATGTAATGGTATAAGTTAATGGAGAACAGATTGTTTATATTCATTAATAGAAAATAATGTTCAAGTCAAATGAGTATTTTGGGTGCCTACCTAGTTCCATGCCCAGTGCCAGTGCAGGGATTCAAGCATAGAAAAGGTTCGTTTCCTCCCCCAAGAAGTTCACAGTACGTTATGATAGTTCTCAATTGCAGTGTGGTAAAAGATTTGAGTATTTCAAAAATAAATGAAGTTGTATATTAATCTACATTTTAAGTAAACTACAGAAAATACAAATTTATTCTCATCACTTGTATTCTGTTATGCTTTTTGAATGGGAGAGAAGGGAATTATGTTACAGAACCCTTGGATTTGCACACAGCCCTAAGCACTCTGAAACTATGTTATGTACCTGAATATCATGTTTCATGCCATGAATAACCTCTGAGATACTCATCTGATAAACTAGCTATACTCCATGGTTTTTGGCTTCCATAGCACCTATCAAAGTGCTGGTCACCCTGTTGAGTCAAATAATTTAAAAAGCACTGAAGTTTGACTGTGTCTGTCAGCTACTCCTTGCTAACATGTAGATGGACTAGAGAAAATTAAGGTTAAAGAGAAAGCTCTCTGGGGACTGTTTACTTTTTTTTTTAGAATTCCACAGATGCTAGGTATTTAATATCTAGGGGACATTAAAATCATGTTAATGATCGTTTTATACTCCGTGGCATTAAAAATCCTTTAGTTTATCTTATACTTTGATTGACTCATTTACTCATGTGTCACTCTGTAATACTGTTATATTGTTCATTTGAAAAATATTGATTCACTGACTTATACATATCTTCCAAATGTTGACATATTTCCATATATAACATTAAAAAAAGAATATCTGTTAATATCATCAACAATCTCTCTAGAAAAGTCTTGCCAAGTATCAGGAAGTTGATAAGCTTGTCATAGCAGAAACACATTTTCTGAAATTCTAATTGTTTAAAAATTGAGAATATATCAACAGCTATAAATACTGTCAGTTCTTTAAATTGGGATGATAGCCTCATTTCATGCATTTTTCAGAAAATATCTGCCAGATACTCAAGTCTGAGAAGCAGCAATGTATGTGTCAGTCTTTCTTTCAAGAAACAATGGAATCTTATTAAAATGTTTCTTGTTCAATTAGCAACTCAATCAATCACAAAAGTGCTTTTTTTCTGAGATACCATCACATTTCAGTAGTGCTTTACATATATTTGTATTTCACCAGGCTGATTCATACGTATTAAAAAGTCATGTCATACACAAAAGGCAAATATGATCCTGGAATTGTAATGAAAATAGTTTTAACTTCTCAGACTCCCTGGAAGTTAGTCTGCAGGACACCCAGATATCTGTGGATCACACTTTGGGAACCACCGAAGACAGAGGTGAACTGGCAAAGGATCTACATATCACTTGAAATCATTTCATGACTTTCACCAAAAAATTCAGCAAATCTTCATGTTACAAATGAAGGTAGCTGATTTGTGCTGTGTAAACCATTCCTAGGAAATGGTTTGCTGCTGTTTTGTTACCTGGAATTGTCATGAAAACTGAATTAATATACTGTCCATAATATATGACCTAACATAAAATACTAGTCTCTAGCAGAACCGATATGGTGCCTTTGAATTGAACAGTTTTGCCTATTTAAAAGACCTGGAAGCCATGGGCACAAATAGTACTAAGACCTTGGATTTGAAATATCGTTC